CCCCAAAACCCCAAAACCCCAAAACCCCACCTCATTATCAATGATAGAGGAAAGTGAAATTTCTTGGTGATAATGAAATTAATATATTCATAAATTCTATATATGGTATTATAGTATAAAATCAATAGAATTAGATAAGTCCCTTATCAGATAGTTTCGATAACTTATATTCAAGTTTTCTATTGGCAAAATCCATATTTACATCATTAAAATGTGTGAGTTGAGATATACTTCTCTTCAAGTCATTAATTCCTTAGTAGTTCATTTCATCAATATCATTCTCAGATAGCTTATCAATAGTCCACTCTGAGTATTTGTTGGACTTAGGGCTAAATTAGTTTACATTAATCTTTGGTGTCTTTCTCTCCTCCTTCCCGAAATCCTCATCTTAACTTTAAGAAACTCTTAGTTTGATTTAAAATGGATTTAATCTTCTCATTTTATCATCTTTTTCCTTCTTTCCTTCATTTTCATCTTCAAGTATGTTGTCAAGTCGACTAGGGTTAGAATAGTCTCTCCTAACAGGACTCATGAAAGATCCAGAAATTTTCTATCTCTCACCTCTGCCAAGAAGTGGCGATAAGAGTGATCCACCTAAGGTACCTTATATTCCTGTGGGGTTTATATTCAGCCCTTAAAAAGGTAGTTTTCTTCGAAGTAAAGCAGAGGCAGGAGAATTGATAGTAAACATTGAAGAATTCTAATTAGATAAAAGATTTGCCATCATACTCTGATCATTATAGCAATTGGCTTTAGCATGCCCCTAAGCTATTAAATAGTCTTTCATTTGCTGCACATCAAAATTATTAGGGTCAATGTCATCGAGATTCAATGCAGAGTCTTGTTGTATCTAGGACACAACTAGACTATCTTCTGCATCCTGAATAAAATTAACTGTTGCTTTTCTAAATTTACTTCCTTTTTTCGGAACCTGCATATATTCAACGTCACCAGTCTAAGGATTTGATTTTTCCCCTCTTTAGGACTCAGTTCCCTTTTTCTTTTTCTTTTTTTTCTTCTCTTACTACTGTTAACTATCTTATTTTTATTCTTTTTTGGCTTACTTCATTGCTTTTTTCTTTATTAGATTAGTAATGGGATATATAAAGCTTACCTACAAAACAGCCCAATCATATTAGAAATCTTCTTTGAAACCTTATTTATAATAAAGATCTTTAAACATGGTTATTAAATATTTGTAGTCTGGTTTCTCTTCAAAATCAAGTCCTCTTACATAGTCCATATACTCAATGAACTCACCTAAATTTTTATTACTTAGCAAGATTAAATACGAGGATATCCATTCAAAAGTACTTCCATATTAGTAGATAGTTTTGCTTCCATGATCTTTTTGTACTTTTTGCTTTTTTCCTTACACCTCACATTTATCCAAGGTAATCCACCCATTAGTAGGTAAATTAAAATGTAACCAAGAGCTTCCATATCATCTCTTCAACTCTATTCAAGGCCATAATGGGCACTAATAGAGGCATATCGAGCTGTTCCTGTTAAGCTTTTATGTTTTATGGGCGCAATATGCTAATTGTTTCTAGGATTTTTGTACCTCTTTGCAAGCCCAAAATCAATGAGATATAGCGTATTAATATACCCTTGTCCTCCAATGAGAAAATTATCAGGTTTTAAATCTCTGTGGACAATCGATAAGTTATGGAGACATTCTAGTCTTCTGATCTATAAAGTTATCATATTAAGGTTTTACAGCTTAGTCTGCTAGAATGAGAACTGTCTTTAATGAAAATTTCCTATTGCAATAATTGAATAAATCCTCAAGACTAGGACCCAACATTTCAATGGTCATAAAGTTGAATTCACCCTCAGTCCCAGTTCCATATAGTATAGGAAAACCCTCATTCCCAGACATGTGTTTGACTACTTTACTCTCGTATTGTATTTAAGGGAATCTAGCTGAGACTGGTTCCTGAATTATGATAAACAAAATAAAATTTCATACAATTTTCACAGCAACATTTTACTTGCTTTAAATGTCAATAGCTAAATTAAATTGTTTCATTTATAAAGATACCTGCAAAAATAGTGCCAAATGTGCCTTACCCGATCTGTTTGCTAATTTTAAATTTGCCTCCTACCACCTAATCCTTCTATAATGCTGCTCCTTCCATTATTTAACTTTTATTAATAGCTTAATTAATTATCTTAGGTACATTTCAATTCATACTATAGAGAAGCTTTAATTGTAAAATTGAAATTATCCTATGAAAATATTTTTTCTCTTTAATTATAGCTAAATCACTACAAGGGGTTTTGGGGTTTTGGGGTTTTGGGG